TAACCAAAGGATTTGTAACAAAGTCCTGAGGTTTTTATCATGTTAATTTCTACTGTTAAGCCGAAAGGCTATATACGAGCCACCTAGCCATCTCTCTGCATACTTCTGGTACCATTAAAGTTAAGGATGCCACATATAAGTGAAACACTATCAGGCATATTATGTTTTGATTTTTTTACATTCTGGTTTTAACCTTTGGAGCATAATACTGAGATGTCTTATCACTGTGAGATAAGTCAGACCAGGTTTAAGGACACAACACCTCCTAAATACCCCACTCTAGCTCGAGCTTTGTTGTCCATCCAAGGTGATGCAGACTTTAATTCAAAACAATAAATAAAAAAATCTTAGGAACAAAATTCTACTCTCTTGGATTAGCTGCTTTACTTGCCATGCAACTTGTAGTAATAACTGTTTAAACTATTTGTCCATAAATGGATAAAAACAAATTTTCTTCTAATATTTTGGATATTTTTTTTAGAATTGCATAAAACTGGTTTTCTGGTTAAACATAGGATTACTTCTTTTTGCATCAGAATAAAAGCTTAAATGGCTCTTAAATTCACTTACAAAATGCATTTTCTTTTAAACAGGTGTGGCAGTAAACAAGGGGAAGAAGATTACAGACCACTGTTTGAGAACTTCATTCAAGATCTTCTTTCCACAGTCAATAAACCAGAATGGCCAGCTGCAGAGTTGCTACTTAGCTTATTAGGAAGGCTATTGGTAAGGGATTCTTGTTTTTAACTATTATATTAATTTTTTTCTTATTACAATGAAACTTGTTTATTTCAGCTCAAACTATTACAGGAATGCTTTCTGATTGTTGACACACACATGTAGCATTTAAGGATTTTCTTACATGTATCACTATTATGTAATGCATAGAAAATAAAATTTAGTTCACAAGATCATTGATATGGAACTTAGTAAAGGTCATATGTATACAGTTTCTCATGGAAGTCTACTTCTACTATTCCATGACATTTTCCACATTAAAAAATGCCATTGTATTGTGTCTAATAAGTGTATATATTCATTGGGAATAAAATCAGACTAATAGCTGTAATTATTCATGTTAAATATTTCTCTGGACTATTCCTTTAGCACGGAACCTGAAAACAATTAAGTAGTTTGGTCTTTTACCAATAACTGTACACTTACTTATGGAACGTGGCATTTTACAGAATGTGAATATTTTAATTGATGTGTTTTTTGAAAGTTGTTCTTCAGTATTACAATGTAATTAACACAGTAATTTGAGCTGTTACTTGGAAAAATATTTTATGGTCCTGTTACTGGTAAAATGTAGCTTGCTTTATACTTGTGTGAATAATGAGGAAGTTGCATTATGGTGCTTAAGATCTATGCTATTGCAATGGATATCTACTCTACTAGATGTCCAGTTTATTTTATAAAAATACATATTTAAAAAAAACCTCTACCAGGCATATTTACAGAGAGAGAGACCCAATAAAGGAAAAAGCATTCATGTAAAGTAAGGAGTGTATCTGTGATGTAATAGTAAATTACATAATGTTATGCAGCATGGAAGTTAGGTGGACTTTTTAATAAGGTCAAGCAATGTCTTGTGAAAAGAATCTCGAATAAATAAATAAATAATTTTTATAACAGTTTATTCTGCTTTTCTTAGGTTCACCAGTTCAGTAACAAATCTACAGAAATGGCATTAAGAGTTGCATCGCTTGACTATCTTGGAACTGTAGCTGCAAGACTCAGGAAAGATGCAGTCACTAGCAAAATGGATCAAGGATCTATAGCCAGAATCCTCAGACAGGTGTGTGAGAGATCCCATGCCAGCTGGATTGAGATGTATCTATTTAAAAATTTGAACATTTTAAAGATGTGTGAAAAAATGGTGTTGTGGAAAATGAGTTTTCATCATTGTTCAGATTTCTGAATCAAATATACTCAATTTATAAGTATCACATTTGTTAATTCATGTCTTTCTCATACCATCTCCCTAATGATCATATTAAGTTGTTAATTAAAATGGTAAAATCAGTTTTCTTGTGACAATATAGAGGAAATAATGGAGTGACAGTTGGATTCTGTCTTAAGAGGCCTTAAAAATATATATATGTATGTATGTATGTGCATTTGCTATTGCAAAGTGGTAATTGAGCTTATGGCACTCATACACAGGCTTTAGAGAGTTAAACTGTTAGGCCTGTAAGGTTAGTTTTTATGTGATGTACCTGGTATTGTTTTTTTGTTGTTGTTTTGGTTTTTTTTTTGTTTTGGGGTGGGTTTTTTTTGTTTTGGGGTGGGGTTTTTTTTGTTTTGTTTTTTACTGGACTTGCATATATCTTTCATTAGAGAATGCATATTTGCATTTCTGCTAATGCTGCTCATCAAATCTGCAAGGGTGGCAGCAATTAAAAAAGCAAAGTATGCTTTTGGGTTCTTTATAGTATATAGTATGATGAGAAAATCTCAGGTTTTACATGTCCTTTTAAAAATGTGGACTTGCATATTTCTTATAGATGCTGTACATTTCTTTCTGAACTACTGGTTGTTCTCAGCATGATTAGATCTAAAGTTAAGTAGTCATATCAAGTTCATTCCCCTTTCAGTTAACTGAAAAGACTCCAGATCTATTATATGTATTTTATAATGACTGTTACAGATTTATGTTGAAGGAAAAACTTGTGCTACTTACAGGCATTCAAATAAAGAATCAAAATTCATCCACTCCTTTATGAGGCTGATACTTCCCATAACTTTTTTCAATTAGAATATTGTACTACATATAGCATCAAATCTTTATGTCTGTGGCTTAATATAATTTACATTTCTATGTGCTAAGGGCTTATAATTCTCCTCTGTTGGCAGTGATTTTGACAATTCTACATTAGGCTTCGTAGGGAAATATTTTAGAAGAATCTTTTTATCTTTCCTTGTCTCTAGAAGTTATATAATAGTATTGAAAGATATTCTAAAAAGATACATATCCAAGTGGTGACTTGGTTTTCTATTTGTTTTGGGTTTTTTACAGGATCAGGCAGTAACTAGCCATTGGCTTCTGCAGAGAATAAAATTGCTGTGGGCAATTGAGTGCTAAAAGCATTTTTTCAGTTACTTGGGAAGCTTAACATCAATGATGGTACATAGTACCATCCATACATTGTGGAAGGTGTATAATATACAGTACCATCAGTCAGGATAGACAGTGTGTTGTTAATAAATGATTTATAAGAACAAATAACTACTTGGAAATGTGTATGTGACATCTGAGCTTCACTTTGTTGTTCAAATGGCAAGAAAATAAGATCCATTGGTAGACATATTCAGCTTTAGACATCAGAAAGATCTTAAATTATTGCTTTTATTCAGAAATGAACCTATACCTCTACAGATTTTTTCTTTGCTGAATTGAATACTTAGACTCTGTTAGATATTTCCTTCTACCCTCTGTTATCATTATCAGGATATTCCCCAATGACTGATGAATGCTTATAACTCCGTCTACTGTGGTTTGGACTCATAAACCGTAGAATTAGATTTAGGAGAAAATCTATTCTGTTTTGACATTTTTAAACAGTAGATTTTTTTCATAGAAATTTGTCATAGATTGTCAAGTTGATTTGAACACTTGTGCATGCTTTTCATTGGTTTATCTCTTGATGCGCTGATCTTCTGGACTTGTAACTGTACCTTTTTCCACTTGCTGATGTTTGCAAGCTATATTATGTGCTGCATTTGTGACAAGATTCTCAATCTGTGCTGTTCATACAGAAGTTAAGATGGTTGTAAGTTACAAGTATTATTGCCAAATAAGAAAAATGTTTTGTAACTGAAGACGTTTAAGCCAGAAATTATTATTCTACTTTTATTAACAATATTGAATATGATTTGTTGCGGGCTTCACAGTTTCTTTTTGTTCTGGGTTTTTTACTTGTTTGAAAATAGTTAGGCAATTAAGGTTTATCAAGCAACTTTTTTTTCAGCCTTTTATCCACAGAATTTAACATTGGTTGAAGGCCAGACTTTCAAATCACAATTTGCACATATATTAGGGTACAAAATATATATCTTAATAAACCTATATTAGTATTATGTGCACTGTAGACATGTTTTGAATTCTTGAACTCATTCATTTTGGAAAAAAAAAAAATCCCTTTTTTCTGCTGTAACATCAGCGATTGCAAGGACCTGCATATTTCGGTATACTACTAAGGAAAAAAAGGTGGTTTATATTTTTGGTTTTATGCTGCCTTGTAGGTGTTAGTTTCTGATTCATTAACAAGTTAATTGATACTGGTTTATTCTCTGTAACCCCTATATGGGGAGAAGTACATTGTCTGATGGTCATATACAAAATCATTGTTCAATTTACATAGGCTAGAACTATTTAAGAGATAGGATATACATATTTCCTATAAAAATAGCCTCTTGGAAAAAATACATTCTATTTTTAACCTTCATACAGTTTAGATAATTACAAATCTGATACATAGTCTCCAGCTCTAGTTCTCAGATTAATATTTCATATGTAATCCTTTTTGTGCATCTTAAAAGTGCTTCACAGGAAAATTAATATTATCCTATTCTGTAGATAGGCTTTATGCACTAGGTGGCATTTTTATAAAATATATGTTTGTTCTCAAGTTTTTTTGACTGATAGAAACTTAGTTGAGTCTCAGAGAGCATGATTCTTTAGTGCTAGAGCTCAGGGGTGTTTGGGAACAACCTCTGTAAATTCTTTCCTAGATGGATTGAGCATGCTTGCTGCACTTTCTCTGTATGGATGCTTTATCCCTGAAAACAGTTATACCAAATATTTATGCAAAGGGATAAGTTATTTTTATATCTTTGATGTTTCCCATATGTTTTTACTTTTGTCTGTGTTCCATATTTATTTTCATTTTACTTTTTTGCCTTTTATCCCTTGTTCACCTGAGAAGTCACTGTTTCAGTATTTAATATTGGTGAGAGAGCTAATGATGACTTTTATAGGTTAAACTTTGTGTCAGTCTATGTGTGATTTCAGCTCTTCTTTTTTCCTCAGGGACAGAGGGTCTTCACACATTAATAAAATCAGTCAGTCTGTTTTAAAACCAGTCTTATTCTGCCGTTAACCTTTTTTAGACTTTGGAGCCACAGTCTAATTTGGTTTAGTCTGTCTAAAGTTCAGAAGTAATTGATTAAAAAATTGTTAGTTGTACTGATAATTGCAGAACATGAACTTCAGTGTATTTTATATGTGGACATGCAGATTTTCAAATTATAATTACCACTGTGCAATATTCTATTTTATAACTATCTTTCTATTTCTGATAGGTTTCAGGAGGAGAAGATGAAATTCAACAGCTGCAGAAGGCTTTACTAGATTATCTGGATGAGAACACAGAAACTGATGCATCATTAGTGGTAAATTTCAGCTTTCTGATGTCAAGTGTATATAAAAATAATTTCAGTAACATGTACTGAATAAAATTATTTTCGGTCATGCATATTAGTGCTTCAATTAAATTGTCACCCTAACATATACTGTTAATTGTGTTTTCCAAAATATGGTTGATGCATTAGACTCACTTAATCTCATTATAAATCTGTTAATGTCACTCTTCTATATCTGTTATTTTTGTTTTCTGTGCATCCTGCTGTATTTCTCCAGTTTTCTCGGAAGTTTTACATAGCGCAGTGGTTCCGTGATACGACTATGGAGACAGAAAAAGCAATTAAATCTCAGAAGGATGAGGATTCATCTGAAGGGACTCATCATGCAAAAGATGTTGAGACCACAGGACAAATCATGCATAGAGCGGAAAGTCGCAAAACGTTTCTTCGCAGCATCATTAAAACTGCTCCATCTCAGTTCAGTACATTAAAGTACGTTTCAGCACCACTGATTTCTTGATTAACCATACATTTGATATTTTTAATCATTTTTTATAAATGTCCTAATTAAAATATCGGATTTGTTGCAGGATGAATTCTGATACTGTGGACTACGAAGATGCATGTTTGATTGTTCGCTACTTGGCCTCTATGAGGTCGTTTGCCCAGAGCTTCGATATTTATTTGACACAGGTAAACTGTGCTGGAAGTCTTAGTACAGTGAAACACAGTTGGTTTCTGATTCCAAACACTCTTGCAGTAGTGTGCAATATCTGCTCATTGTTGAGCACAGGTATTTAATGGGCCATGATAACACCATGTGCTTTCTTATTCTGTACTGATGATATAAATGCTTATATTTCTTTTTCTTGCATGCATTTCATGTCATATTGTACATAGATTATTTTATTTGTCCATGTATGTATATGGCAAAATCATTATCTTAGATGTACACAGTAAACGGATAATTACAAAATGTTAAAAATTTTTTACAGTTTCTGTAAGATGCATGCTCATTCGGTAATGTTAACTCATTAAATTGATCTTAATTTGATTTGAAAAGACAAGCCAACTTGGTCAGTTGCTAGCAGTGCATGTTACTGTCACTTTGGAAGCTGTTGTTTGACCATTGTGGTTTCTTTCCTTTTTCTGGGAGAAGAGCAGTAACACGTTGTCATGGTGACCTTTGAACTCCAGTAATGGTTTAGTAGTTTAGTTTAGTTTAGTTTGTGTTACTTATATTGATCTGCATACAGAGCCATTCTTAAGATTATAATGCCTAAATCCAACTCTCCTGTTGAAAGAACCATGGTGAAAGCCACAACTGAATGGCAAAAGTAGAGTTTAAAATGAAGGGACTTAAAGTGAACATGGACCCTGTGTAAATCCTGTTTGGACCAGTCTTAGAGATGTAGCAAATCCTAGTAAATATCCATGCTCAGTTAGTGCCATGGAACATGACTTGCATGCACCTTTTTACTGTCTGAGAAGATATATACAATTTTTAGCAGACAGATATTCTTATTTTAGTTAAATCATTTGCAGGTTATTCTGTTGCATTTTTCCCTGTTAAACAGTTTCCTTCCTTCCCAAAGAAATTGAATCTTTGTTTTTGTTCTTTTATTAGATTCTGCGTGTACTTGGTGAAAATGCAATTGCTGTTCGAACAAAAGCCATGAAGTGTTTGTCTGAGGTTGTTGCTGTAGACCCCAGTATTCTAGCCAGGGTAAAAAAAAAAAAATGAAATATTCATCATGTGCATGCGTTCTTCTGTCACACTTGAAAGAAATGGGTATTTCTTATTTTGAATCTGTGTTTTATTTGTTCTTTTTAGCTGGATATGCAACGAGGTGTTCATGGACGGTTAATGGATAACTCCACTAGTGTACGAGAAGCAGCTGTGGAGCTGCTTGGCCGATTTGTGCTCTGTCGTCCTCAGCTTGCTGAGCAGTATTATGACATGCTGATCGAAAGAATATTGGTATGGTGATTTGTGATATTTATAATAAATTAAGTGACATTGGAAAATTTGTTTTCAACTGAGTTTATATGTTTAATAATGTGGAATGATGATCCCAAGAGTAAATTATATCTTATTATTTTAATGAGGAGCATCATGTTTTTAATACCAACCTTGTAAAATACATCACTTGTTTCCAGTGAGGCTTTGTTACATCGAAAAGTAAACATACGTAGAAAGTTGTACCGCATCAGAACCAGTTTTATATTCCTTTTGATTCCTTTATTAAGGCACAAATTAGGTGAAATGAGGAATTTTGCCACATCTCTGAAGTCTGAGATATGGGTCACTGAGGGCAGTTCGGTAATGTGGGTGATGAAGAAAGGTCTACAACAGCGTAATATAAAGTTCCCATTTTAATCCAAAAGAAAAAAAGATAAAACTATTTTGTGTTTTCTGTGCTGTGTTTTAGTGCTTTAAAAGGCTTCTTATTAGAGTTTTTGTATAAAAAGTGTTTTTTGTCTGGCTGTTCAGATAAAATACAATGTTAATTTAACTGTAAGATAACACTAGCTTTTAGCATCCATGTCAGGTTTTTAGTCAAATACTACTCATTTGCTATAGTTACATGATAAAACATGTTTGCGAAGGGTTTTGGAGATGTGCATATGAGCATGTATAAAGCCATTCATTCTGACATTCAGATTAAACGGGTTTTGAATAAGGTAATATGAAACGAAGTTCCTCATCCTTCTCCTTAGACAAAGCCTAGGAAAATGGAAAAGATTTGCTGCACATATCTTATCCATAAGGTTTTTCCAAAGGTTTCTGAAGCATTACAGTCCAGATCTACAAAGGGTCTCGTATGTTCCAACAAAGTAGCTAAAGCATCATCACATCTAGCTTGTAAGCTCTTGAATTAAGAAGTGGAATTACACATTTGCAACATCATGAGCTCTTAAATGGGAGGGTATAAATGGAGAAAGGATTTCAGTGTTCTGGGGACTCAGCCAGATCCCAAATTGTTGCAAATAAAATGGAACAAGTTATGCTGACCTTTTGTATAAATGCACTCCAGAACATTTTAGCTGCCTTTTCTAAATAAATTTTGCAGGGCCAGATTGGGTGATCTTCAAATATTAATTCATATAATACATAAATTATTTACTATGACTAATTTGTTTTCAAGAGTATAATCCTTTTCTCCTCACAGGATACTGGTATCAGTGTCAGAAAGAGAGTCATAAAGATACTTAGGGATATCTGCATTGAACAACCAACATTTCCCAAAATTACGGAGATGTGTGTGAAAATGATTCGGAGAGTCAATGATGAAGAAGGCATTAAGGTAGAATGAAACATATCCTTCAGAATTTTAATTATCATAACGTGTTTCTATATTTTGACCAAAAAAGATCAAAAAGTATTTCATTGCTCTTTGTAATTTAATGATTTTTATTAACTTTTAATTTTTGACAGCAAATATACCAGGCAACTCAAGAAGACTACAAGGATCTCGTT